TGTGTGTGTGTGTGTGTGTGTGTTTCTTCGTTTGTATTTGTGGTAGCAGTTTTTGGGGTTGGTTGGTTTTTAATTTCCCTGCTCCTGCATTGATGGGGAGGCTGGATTGTTTTCATCATGTACACTTTCTGTTCTGTGGACAGGTTTAAAAAAAAAAAATTCAGGTTTAAAAAAAGCAATTTTCACTATTTCTGTCCTTCATAAAGAAAATGAATAACCAGTCTCTCATTCGACCACATACCTCCGCCAAGGCCCAACGCCCTACTTAAATTAAATCAAGCTGCACCAGGTTTCACACTCAACACATCAGTTCCCCAAAGCTGTTTTCAGACTTGAACTCCAGATAATATCCGCACAATGGGATTCTGAACTTTCTCTGGAGTTTGCTTTTCAGATAAGAAGAACAGAGGAGGAGATTCTCCGTTTAGGAATTTAAGTATACTGGGTATTACTGGGGGGTGGCAGAGAAACTCCGGAGAATGTCCACTGCAACTGACTCGTTCTCACATGCTGCCCCTGTGGAGATTTTCAGGAGATTATTTGGAGTTCATGTCTTAAAGCAGTTATAATGTTTTTATCCAAATACATGAATTTTATCCACTGGGAAATCTCACAATGTTGATTTAAGTGGAAAAAGAATCCCTGGATTCCACGCCCAGATAGGGGTGAAAACATAACCTCCTTGGCAGAGGTAGTGAATGAAGGGAAATACTGGTACCAACAACCAACTGTGTCTTTGCTCTTTCTCTCCCTCCATCCTCCTTCATTCTCCCCCCTCCTGACTCTCATTCCATCTGATCACTCCTGGTGTCTGTTTAAACCTCTGTAGGATTTCAGCAGGTTGTAAAAATGTGAATGCTGAGAGGTGAAATTAAGATTTTTGGCTCAAACCTTAGAAAAACGTTGCAGAGAATATTCTCTACCCAACTGATCACCTGTACCACAGCAGATATGATGTAAACGTGTCCGCCTGCTCCTCCTCTCGTAGTAAAACCGTAGAGTGTTCACTAATCCACGAGGCAGCTTGTGTGAGCGCCATGGCATCTAACCCTCGTCTTTCTCCCTCCCCCTCACAGATGTTTGGGAACTGGACCTTCGGGACTCTTGTCTTCACTGTGCTGGTGTTCACCGTTACACTCAAGGTGTGTGAGTCTTCAGAAGTCAGAGGATGGGGGAGAGAGAGACACACACACACACACCCACACTCGTGGCTATTATATTGCATAATCCCTACATTTGAAAGAGGTCATTACTATTGCACGTGAGCCCGAGTGTACGCGTGCACAAGCCTGCGGCGCTCGTGTCACTGTTGTTACATAAAATGATCGACTGCTCTGTTTGCACAACAGTAAAGCCTGAAGGCAGAGTCATTGACGTTATTGACTGCTCCAGTGTTTACTATGTATTTATTCTTGTTTGTTTCAGCTTGCCTTGGACACACACCACTGGACGTGGATCAATCACTTTGTCATCTGGGGGTCGCTACTTTTCTACGTTATTTTCTCTCTTCTCTGGGGAGGCATCATTTGGTATTATATAGTTTTATCTGCTATCTATCTCCTTAAATGTGTTTTAGCACATTTCTGAAGAAAACCATCATTGTCTCTTTCCTGTTGCTGCTCAGGCCGTTCCTGAACTACCAGAGGATGTACTACGTTTTCATGCAGATGTTGTCCAGTGGTCCAGCGTGGCTCAGTATCATCCTACTCATCACGGTCAGCTTGTTGCCAGATGTCATCAAGAAGGTCCTCTGCAGGGCCATGTGTCCCTCAGCCACCGAACGTGCACAGGTAGGTCCACAGTGAATCTGCTGACGCTTTCAGCCATAGACTATATACAAAGATGGTCGACATGACGGCTTAACAAAAGTGAAGCTAAAGCGTCTCAATCACACCCTGGTGGCTGGATTCAGTATAGGCCGCTAACCCTGGCTCCTCCATGTTAGGGGATGGGACATGGACCAACCTAAAAAGTCAAAGTACATTTTAAATCATTTTTAATTAATTTGACCAGTCATTTTAATTTGTTTTCTGATGAGCTTGATTTTAATTGGTTATTTGATGCAATAAAAACAAAGCAGTTTTATTTTTAAAGCACATTTCTTTTCACAGTGGTAGATGCAATGTGCTGTACACAGACAACAAAAAATTCAAAATAAATTCAAAATCAGAAGGAACTGTTTAAAATATATTTTTGGCAAGATAAAGAGATTAAGAATATAATAAGGGAGATTGAAATAAGTAAAATAAATAAAAAGGATAAAATCTGTAAAAAGATAGAAATTAGTAAAGACATAAAATAAAATGAATTGGTGAAACAGACTCCTGATTGGTTGAGCATGTGTATTTTAGCTTTGTTTTGTGCAACAAGATGAAGAGACATGTCGTCCATCTTTATTTACAGTCTATGCTTTCAATCATCTTGTTCAACTGTCATATTGTAGGAGTTTTGCAAAATGATTTTACATATTGTTAACTAATTGCTTTGCTAAAGCCATTAACCAATAACTTATTAATGCTCTCCCATTTTTAAGATGTTTATGTTTTTGCACCTTCTGGATTAAAACCACCTGCTATAGTTATAGTTCTCTTAAATCCTTGCACACACTTAATATTTTGATAGTAATAAACCATATGAGTGAGCCTCTAATCAGTTCCACTCTATTAACCATCCAGGAAGACCATTAAGACCCTAAAAGCTCAGAGCATCAGCGTGATTTACTGTGACTTCTGTTCCCTGCGGCTTTGCTTCACCTTCCTGTGAAGCCGGCTCCTCCATGAATGGGAAAATAAATGACGGGTCTGACAGATTTCTTCTTCCTGTGCTCTCTCTCTCTTCTCTTTTCTCCCTTGTCACTGCGCCCTAATGGACCGCCCTAATCAAAATTCACACCATCCTCCATTGTTCCTACCTTCTCTCTTCCTTCACCCTTATCCGCACCACTGCCATCCTCCTTTTTTCTCCTGTCTTCACCCCCTTCATTACCCTCTCCCTTGTCTTCTCCTCTCTTGTTTCCCTCCCCACTGCGCCCGTGTGGCTGTGACTTTCTGCACTCACTCACTCCTTCGTGGTAACTGCAGTCCTCTCGCCCGTGCCTTACTGTGGAGCCGTCCACCATCTTCATGCTTTCTCAGTCCTCCAGCAGAATGAGTTTCTAATTGGCCCAGAGAGACGAGAGAGGAGCAGGAAGAGGAGGTGACTCTCTCTCTCTTTTTTACGCCCTCATCTCTGTGTGCATGGTGGCATGTCCCACTGTAAACCACTGATCACTGTTTCAACACCTCACCTAATGTCAGACTAACCACTGGGGGGCGCTGCTGATGGTGCCACAGTGTTAGTGTGTAAACCAGGTTTCATTCATCCTGTTTGTTCTATTTTTGAAAACATCTTCACAGTGAATGTTTCATGTGTTTTAGAGCAACACTATGTAACTTTCAATGAGCAACAGCTGCAGCCACACGTGAGCTTTGGTTGAGACTTTAAGTCAGTTACAAAGAGCAGATTGTACCCACTCACCAAAGTTACACAGAGCAATGCCAGAGATACACCGTGATCCAAGTCAGTGTATCACCAAACTGATTTTGAAGCTGCTGTCTTAAGGTAAAATAGTTGCATTGTGTTGCTTTAAGAAAAGTAAGTTGCATGTGTTACATCATGTTTTCATATTTTTCATGTTGTCACCTTGTCTTGGTTTTGTGGAAAATGATATGATATGTTTGTTAGTTCTGCTGGACAGGAAGTTGTTTAAGCTTGCATTGGAAATTGCTGAATTTCTTCCAATCTAAAGCTCCAGCTTCATATCTCATATTGAATAATTGATTATTGAGTAATAATCTTGAAAACATTTATTATTATTATAGATTGACAGTAGGTTAAATTTTAAGCTAAGTTAAGTGTCAACTACTCTAATTTAAATAATAGTAGTTTTTTTGCATTCATTTAAAATGAATATCTTTGAATGCAGCTTATAAAAGCAGAGGCCAATTGTTATTTGACATTTCATATTTATTTATAATCTATATTAAATGTATCGTCATGTTATCTTTTAGACATTTGATATTAATAATCAAATAACCTGATTGACAGAAAATGTTTAAAATCCCAAACTAAGACTTAGCAAACCTTGTGTTTCTTAAGGTCAATGACACTGTTCACACCTGTTTCTTCTGTCTTGTGGGATCAGACCACAATTAAACTGTGCTAAATATACCTGTGCATCAGTGAAGGTAGACACATGACTGATAGGAAGTCACATTCAATGACTAACGTAACCATAGAGTGACTGCGTTGTCATTGCTTTTCTTGTCAATGTCAAATTTAAAGTAAGAGAATGAAGCTCTGATGCAAAGTTTCTATGGATAATTGGTTTAATTCAAATAACCAGGATACTGTAGTAGTTGATTGCTGTGGATTGTTCTTCAATCAGTTTATCATCATCTACATTCAGAATACATTTTCATCTGCGTTCTGACAGCAGGTGAGGATTTAAGTCACATTCAGGTGGTTGAATGTTATCAGGTACAAGACACAGGAACTGAGACGATTCCATTATCACCTCCTTTCCTTTAACGTCATCCACAGAAGGTAAGAACGGCCCTGAAGGGTTGTGTGGCTCCTGGCCCTGCTGCCGCAGGGGGCGCCAGTGAGCAGGACTCGCTCCGCCCTGATAGGACCTGTGAGGGAGACAGTGGAGACAAGGCTGCTAGGACCTATGACTCCATGATGTCACACGGCAACTCGCTCGTCAAACCCTAGAGTCCCTCCCACCCCCTCTAGGTGGGCTATGGTCGCCATGGTAACAGCCTCACAGAGGGCATCAACAGTGGGGAGTCGGGCTCTTAATGCTGCCGCCGCGATGCTTCCTGCTGCTGCTGTGCATTGTGTGGGGCATGCTGTCATGCTATGGCTCAGGCTTGGGGGGGGGTTGTTTGGCTGGGTACAGGAAAGTGTTGCTGCACGAGACGTTTCCTTTCGTCAAAACCTACTTTCAGGAATCACAATATCCAATTACCTCTGCTGCGCTGGTTTCAAAGTGCGCTGTGCTTCTCACCGCATGTGGGATGGGAATTAACTTGATCTGTGGAGCAGCAGAAAGAGAAATGTTATCCTACTCTTTATTTAACCCGAGTTACATAGAATCCACTTGTTATGTGCTCGCCTACAATATGCTTGTTCGCCCCCGGGAACGATGTGAAAGAAAAGTTGAGGGTCCAACAGTAAAGGTTGTGGATCAGAGGAGATGATTTACCGTTGACTTCACATCACAGACAAATGTTAAAAGGAAAAAATATTTATCCACGATGCAGCTCATTAGGGTGGTACAGTGGTGCAGTGGTTTCCTGTCGCCTCAAGAGGTTCCTGGTTTGAATCCCAGAGTTTGTTCTTGTACTTCTTTTGTGTTTGGGTTAGGTTAACTAGAGACTCTAGAATTGACTGTAGGAGTGAATGTGAGTGTGTTAATCTCTGAATGTTATGTACGAGGCCCGGTCATACACTGGTGACCTGTCTAGGGTGGACCCGCCTCTCGCCCAATGCTAGCTGGGATTGGCTCCATCCCCCTACGACCCTCAAAGGATAAGCAGTTAGGATGGATGATGGATGGATGTTTGGTTGGTATTGATGATCTCAGCAAATCTATATACTGTTTTATCTAGGACTATAAGGACCACTGATGACATCTAGTGTTGGAGGGTGAAATTGCCAGTGCAGATTTTGTGTTAGTGTCTCAAGCATGCTTAATCTAACATGACAATTAATCATGATGGGAATTTTCAGAGGGTTTCTAAAAACAATAATCTTTAAACTCTTTGAACAAATTGAATTTGATCCATTGCATGTGTTCATTAATCATCAAACCAAACATCTGGATGAATAAAACAAACCTCTACCTTCTGATTATAACCCAGTTTTTCACTCTCATGCATCAAGCCGTCTCGCACCTTTCCTCTCTGACAACATCATTGGTTTGATCTGCCTGTTTCTCTTCTAGTTTTTATTTCATTTCCTCTGTTTTTAATCGTCTCATGATCTCACATCCTCCCTCTCTCTTCTCTGTAGGGGCAAGAGAGGCTTTCGCTGGGCGGCGTGGCCGAGTCGACTCCACACTCCTCCCGTCGATCCTACAAAGGCACGAGCATGGACTCCTCTCACCTCCACCTTGGTGCTGCGGAGACGCTGTCGCTACACACGTCCGATCCCCTGCCCCAGAAACTACTGGCCCACTTGGCAGAAGGGGGCCGGGCAGACTTGTGCTCCCTCAGCCCCTACATGCTACGTCTCTCAGGGGCGGGATTCGCCTTCTGCGCTCCAGGGCCCGAGACCTCTGTGTGAACAGGAATGCAAACTCCGAAGTCAGAATCTTATGGGCTAAAACATGCAGCGTGTAGCACATGCAACCAAGATCTGCTCTTCAGGATCAAGGATTTATAGAACATGTTCACGTGCATCAGAAGCATGGACGCTCCATGCTGAGTTCACCATGTGCATTTACGGGGATGCACCTGAGTGAACAACCCTTTAGATATTCTCCTCCTGACTCCTCATCCTTTTCGTTTCCCTGTCCCTGTCTTAGTCTCATCAAAGTCCCTGCTCAAACTCTTACTTGAATAAGTCTAAGAACAGAAGGGGAACCACGTGCGAATGTGCATCGTTTCTTGCACTATGTAACTGTCCTGTTTCCGCATGTCAGCAGGCGGACCCATTTTACTCCTCGTCCTCATTTTAGTCCTTGTCCTCATTTTCGGTCCCACGTTCTCGCCTGTTCCTCCACTTTTGTGTCCTTTCTTTTTTTGCATTTGAAAACATTTATGTACAGTTCCGTGGTCTGGCCAAGTCAAGGGGGGAAGCCGTCAAGCTCAGCCCTTTAGGTGTGCGTGCGTGTGCATGTGCGAGAGTGTATGCATGAATTTGCCTGTTCTTCTACGTTTGTATGTGACACACCTTTGCCTTACAGGTAACCACACTGCAGCAGGCTAGGAGCCAAAGGAGAAATGTGTTTTAAAAACAAAAAAGTAGAAGCAAACGTGGTGTATTATATTACTAAGCCTTACACACACACATCAGCTGGAGGAGAGAAATGGGGAAAATCTGAAGAGGGATGTGCAGTATTCTCGCCGCCCTGCCTTAATTCATAGATTTTCAGTGGATTATATTTCTAGGTCATTGTAAGCATGTCTGGAGAGAGCGAGGAGGTCTAGAGGGCATATATGTCTGGTACACTGCGCCTGTTCCTCTTCCTCCTTTTCTTTTACCCTCACGATAGCGTCACACTTCGTTTCCTTTCTCTTCTGCCACTGTCGCATGTCGGATCTCTGCTGCATGCCGGTCCCTTGTCCTCCTTCGTCCAAGACATCATCGCTCATCTCAAACAGTTTCCTCCGAAATAATGAGCACACTGTACCTACACGCGCCCCCACGTGGCCATGAAGGGTAACAGCAGCAGTCGTTTAGTTTTTATTTATGATGTCTTGCCACTCCTCTCTGTTGCATTGTGCTCGTGCGTTTGCTGCCATGCTGGGTGTTATGCAAAACTTAAGTAAGAATGTCCTGTAGTCAAATTATGATATGAAGGTTTTTTACCTTTCCCTGTGTTGCATTAATCCATGAGTTTGTTTTCTGTATTCTAAAATTATTGATGGCACTCACTGTTTATGTATGGATGTAACTTAAAAAATCTTTTGATATGTATTCTACAGAGAAGGGTTGTAAATATGGTCTGTTGTCATGTTGGACACTTGAATCAGCGATGCCACAATCAAATCAGTGCGAATGTTGGAACTGATTTGTCCATCATGTCCTCCAGCGGAAGATTGTAGCTCATTATGGATGAACCTCTTTTCTGCATTTCTAACATCTGAAGTCCTCTTTTTTCCAAAGCATATCTGTCGTCGTTGCATCGCGAGTGACCGGACTCGTGAAGTCTTGAATGTCAGATTCCGAAGCATTTTTGTATGTTGTTTATACAGTTTATTTTCATACACATCACACATCTGCCAACATTTATAGATTCTGTATTTTTGATGATTTATCAGTTCGGCTGGAGGAGTCTGGAGTTTTTCTCACTCAAACCTCCGCAAGTGATTTTTTGACCCGCTGTGGCTCAACATCCTGACCTCAGTTGTTTTCAAGGAAAGGCCTTTGTACTTGTTATGCAGTGTCACTGTACTTTAATGACGTGATGGGGAGCCCTTTGTAGTCATTCTTCACACACTGTTTTTTTTTTTAGGTAGATCCTCCGCAGCTCAGTTTTTTCACTTCTTGTCATTTTTGTGTTGTCCATTGTGGAAATTTCTTTTGCTACTTTTGTATCCCAGAGAGAAGAACTGTATTTTAACTCCATTAGAATGTGTGTTTAAGTTTGTAACCAAAATGAGAGCATACGTATATGATTTATTAGAGATTTACCAATAGGTCTACACACTGCACTTTGTTCTAGAAGAGATCCGTTTCCCCCTGAAAACAAGGTCTACTGTCCGTCGACTGGGGTTTATATTATTCCTCACAAGTTATTTTTCTAAGAAGATTGTTGTGGGGGAGAGAGAGGGAAAGAGAAAAAGTGACCAAATGACTTGACATGGAATGGGTTTATCACACCAGCCTTCTAACTGCTGATCAGAATGTCAAACTGCTTTTCTAAGTCCATCAGCACAAGAGCAGGTGCTCGTCCCGTAACTCCTGAGCTTGGCAAAGGTCTGAAACATTGACTTCGGTGCTCTGAGCAGCACGCTTCATATCATACCCTCAGTACAGCACTGTTTGTATTACTAAACAGGTTTTGAGATATTACTTTTTTTGTGCGGGGGGGTGGGGGGCGGGGATACAGATTTTAAAAGTTCACTTGTTGACTTTTTTGCCAGCCTGTCTGTAGCAAATGAGGGCAAAGCACTGTATTGTCATTCTGCTTGTAATAAAGACAGAGAAAAAACTCTTGTCCCCTGATTCTGTTGTATAAACGTTGATTAACTGGTTTTGTCTTGATTTTGTTTGTTGTTTGTTTGTGAGCATGTTTCACGTGGTGCAAGGATGGAACATGGTCCAAGAAAGAACTTGTTTTTGGCATTTATCCACACAAAGGACTCATCTAATACTTTCTTAAACATTTCAAGCTCAGGCATTTTAGTTTTTACATTTTCACCAATTTATAAAAAGTAATAAATAAGTAAAGATGCAATATAAGAGCAAGGAAGTATAAAATACAATTAAAAAAGAAATTACATATAAAAGTGAAACAGAATATATACAGTTTAATGTATTGCCCTCGGCCATTGAATTCCCCCCCAAAAAAATTTCACAATAATTTCCTTTTAACACTTTTTGATTTGTTCCGCCTACGGAGGAGCAGAAGTCATGATAGCAGGGACTCTTGTATTTTACATATTTCATATATTCAACTTCTCTGGATTTAGACGATAGAGATTGATTTTTATGAAATGAGGAAGTCAATCAGGAAGTAAATCAGGAAGTCACTTTTTGGAGGGAAACTGCAAAGGCCTCACCTCAAGGCCTCACCTGCAGAAGAAGAAGAAGAAAAGATCCCAGTTCAGTGAAATGTTCCCATCAGCCTTTAGACTAAAGAGCTAACTTTGAATCTTTCAACTGAGGAATCACTAACTGGCAGATCAGAACTTTCAACTTCTTTCACTGACTTCACTCAGGTGTTCAACTTTAGTGAAGTGAGTTTTAAATCCTTTTCTTATTATTTTATTTTTGAATGGACTTAATTTGAGTTGGGTTTTTTTTTTTACAAACTCATAAAATTAAGTTCAATAGAACCACTTTAAGTGTATTTTATACAAGACAGATGTTAATTAAAGGTGAATCAAGGCTCTATTCGACGGAGTTGGACAGTTTGGGAGTTTTCCACATTTTAACGAACTCAGACATATTGACAGATCTGAACAACCGCAAGGAAACACATCTTCATCTATTCATAATAAATCGCTGATGACTGCAAATGAACAACAGGCATCAGATCATGTAATCATCATTGGTGCGCATTTTCTCCAAACATTACGTCACGGGCGTATGAAGCATCATAATTAGAGCACGTCAGAGTGATTTCAAAATAAAAGGCGACCTTCCTGAAAATGGGACGTGACACGAGCAGTTTGTGCAGGAAGGAGATGTTGAGGTAAGAAAATAATCCACTAATTGATAAAGAAAAATTCAGGAACAGTTTGAACTGTATAAACTAATGATAAATACAATTAATTATAAGAAAACAATTAAGAGGCTCCTTCCAACTCCTTCTTTTTATGTGTGAACTAGCACAACACTGCTAATCTTCTTCTTTCAATCAGATATAGAAGGTTCCCTCATATTTATCATTAGCTGTCACACTCACAATGGAAAGGTTTTTAAAAAGTTACTAAAATCAATTCAGCACAACCAAATATATCGTTTTATTCTTTTCTTTTAACTTTTTAGACATAGCTAACATGGCTAACATGGCTAATGTCAGAATAGCAGGGAACCATGGAGATCTGGTGAGTTCACTTCTTTCTGCATTTCAACCTGTTTCTTTTATTTTCATATTCCATTTGAGTCAGTCTGGATCCACAAAAAGAGTTTAACGTGTAGCTTAGCATAACTTAGCATAGCTCTTAATGTCTTGAAAGTCAAAATACCTTTTTTTAACATTACTTGTGCACACAAGATAAAGAAATGTCACCTTTAGGACTTTTGAGGCTCCCTTACAATTGTTTAAATGTAATTGTATGTCTTGGTTTTCCTGTATGTAAACAGTTTTCAATAAATAGGATTCTCATATTGGTTGCTTTAGTGGATGCATAAATAATGTTATGTATTTTGTAATGGTTACTGATGACACACATTACTATATATTGCTTTATGTTTATCATGCAGAAGAATTATAAATATTGTGTGAGCAAGTTAAAAGCTTGTACCAAAGGGGCATAAACATTCATTCAACATTCTTCAAGACCCATGAATTGTAGTGTCGGACAAATGCAACAGAAATATTCACATTTATGAAAAACTACAGACATTTCTGTCATAACCCTGTTTGATCACATGGTGGCAATGCTCCATAACCCATGTTGAACAGTAGGTGTACTGTTTGTTTCATGACACAGCTGTTATACCTTTCCTCAACTCTGGGTGTCGCTGTTGTATCAGTTGTTTGTGTTAAACTGCACTGCTGACCTTCACTTCCCCTCCCCCTCTCTGTCTGCAGGGTTCGCACGGGTTTGCACTATCATGAGTGCTGAAGCCCAAGCATGCATGTGTGCGAATGAGGCTGCCATCTCTACTGCTGGCATCCTGTGTTCTGCACCCCTCTCTGGAGGACTCGACTCTGCAGCTGAGCTGTCGCAGCCGTAGCTGCCTCAGCATCACTCACTCTCACTCACTCTCTGCCGCATCCTCTCCATCTTCCCACAAGCATCCCGAGCTGCACACACCCCCTGCTTCTTGAATCTCTCTCGTCTTCTCTTTAAACAAGACTGCAGCCAGGCTCGCACATCCTGGGCTATTTCACCCTGCTGCCTCCCTCTCTCTCCTTCTGCTTAGCTGGGCTTGTCACTGCAGCGGTCCCCATCTCCCATCCTCTTCCACCATCATCCGCTCCGGCTCTCTGAAGCTCCGGTAAAAGCAGGCAAGCTGTCTCTTCTTCCCGTTAAAGTGTCTATCGGCTGGGCAGCTGGTCTTCCACTGTCCCTCTGGAGGATGATCCTGTGGATGAAAACGGAGGAGATGGCCCTGGGGGAGCTGCTGGAGAGACTGAGGACTGTCACCCAAAGCATAGGTGGGTGACACACACACACAACACAGTACAGTGGATTCTTGATGCAGAATTATCACGTCAATAATCTATGAAGCGTTGTTTCTGCAGAAAATCAAACCAGGTGTAATGTGCTGTTGCTCTGGGTGTTTCTGCCTCAGGCCAGTGTTTTTGTGTCGACCTGCTCATTCTTACGATTGGAAATGTGATATTTACCCATTTCATTTGATCCCACAAGAGAGAGAAGCATTACATGATGTTGTGAGGACAGGAGATGAAATTCTGTATTTCCAATCATTATATGTAAACATTGTTATTATTATTATGATGGAAAAGAGAAATTGAATTTCAAATGTAATCAATACTCAGAAATTTTGCTTATATGCAAAAAAACACAAGCGGCAGACAGGTTGATTTGTGTTCTAATACATTACCTCACTGATTCTTTTTCCTCGGTACCAGTTACAATATTTAGTATATGATCAGAAAAAAGTGTTAAGAGCAGACATAGGAGAAACAGTGATCTATATATAATTGCCACACCTCTGTATTAATGGACAGCTTGATACTTAACATAGTCTTGTCACCTGCAGGTAGTCATGCTACAAGCTACAGTGTGTTTTTGTGGATCTGTCAATGTCCTTACATACAAACTAGAAGAGCTACAGCAGAAAAAAAAAACGTTTTGGGCTTTTAAATCCAGCTAATTCTATTTCTGAACCGTTGTTTTTTTTACATGACACTAGGCTGTAGATGTGATGACCTGATGTCGCTGCTGCATGTGTCACTACTGATGTCTGCTTCTCTTCTCTTTTGATCTATAATCCACTCATTTTCTGTTTACCTAGTTAAGAGAAGCCATGGCTGCTCATTTAGTGACTCTTCTTTAGCTGTATTTCTCGCAACTGTGTGTATGTATATGTACAGTATGTGGAATGAGAAGGAATAATTCTTAGTCAGTATTGTACCCCAGATTTCCCATTTTACTTGATTTTACACGGATGCATCATTAATACAACATGGTGGGCTCTAGTTCAATTCTTTCCTTCTCAGATGGTAAAAGAAAGACAGGAGTGAGTGGGTGGGCATGAGGAAGGAGGGGGACATAGCTTAACCCAAGCTAGCAGAATGAAAATGCTCAGACTACAGATCTGCAGGTGATTTACTTGCTTCACAGCTCCACTACAAACGTGCTTAAACAAAATGGAAAACAAAAGTCATAGCTTGCTCTTTCCATGCGCAGACATTTCAGTGTATACTAAACGTTTGCAGTCCTGGTCAGCATTCTGTTTATAAGGCAGTGTGACAGGAGTTTGCCGTGGCAGGGGGATGAGAGCTGTAATTGGCTCAGAGATGAGAGTCTAAGGCTGATCACAGAAGACAGCAGAGAGGAAGAGAGTCCAAGGAACAAGAGAGATCCAGGGAAAGAAAGTCAAGTGACGATGAAAAGGATTTAGCATTGTCTAATCTGTTGAATTACTCCCTCCCCTTCGACTGTGTTGAAGGTGTCGTTAAAATGCAGAAAACAGAGAACCCCAGGTTTTTTTTTTTTCCTTCTCCCCTGAGAGACAGTTACAGACACATCTTGTGGGATTATCTGAGCTGTGCATGTAACATGAGAGGACATGCAGTATCCTCAGAATCAAACAAATCATCTGCAGGTGCAGTGATCCTGTCCTTCCATCCTAATCACCCAGTCAACGCGGGTCAGTGATACATAGCACAATGAACTTTTTTTGAGCTTTAGCCCAAACATAACTCAGATGATGGATACATGTTTGCATTTCATTTAACTGCAAATAAAAAAAACAAACTGAGGTTTATAACAGAAGGATAGAAACAAGACTAACAGTTACAATATTTACCATATTCTAGTTTAGCATGTTGCTGTGCTAACATCCATGTTAACATGCTAAAAAAGAGCCTGACCGATCTGCATTTTTGTGATTGATATGAGGGAGTATACATTCTGAACATGATTCATCATAAGATGTTGCTATCAAACCTAGATGAACAATTAATGAATTACCAAAGTTATTACAATTCACCCAGAAGGGAATATGAATG